AGCTTGAAGCACTGCGCTGATCAGCTGTCTCCAGTGTTCACAGACATTTTCAACACCTCATCATCAACATGTCTCCGACTCCCGGACCATCAGCACCGGATCCCCCCAGGGCTGTGTTCTTTCTCCTCTGCTCTTCTCCCTGTACATAAACAGCTGCACCTCCAGCCACCAGTCTGTCAAGCTTCTGAAGTTCGCGGACGACACCACTCTCATTGGTCTCATTTCTGATGGTGACGAGTCTGCCTACAGTTGGGAGGTAGACCATCTGGTGAACTGGTGTGGCCAAAACAACCTTGAGCTCAACGCCCTAAAGACAGTGGAGATGGTTGTAGACTACAGGAAGAACTCAGCCTCACCTGCCCCCATCACCTTCTGTGACTCCACAATTGACACTGTGGAGACTTTCCGCTTCCTGGGAACGATCATCTCCCAGGACCTCTCATCGAGAAAGCTCAGCAGAGGATGTACTTCCTGCGGCAGTTGAAGAAATTCAACCTGCCAAAAACAATGATGGTGCACTTCTACACAGCCATCGTTGAGTCCATCCTCACATCCTCCATCACCATCTGGTACGCTGCTGCCACTGCCAAGGACAAGAGCAGACTGCAGCATGTCATTCGGTCTGCAGAGAAGGTGACTGGCTGCAATCTACCGTCGCTCCAGGACCTCTACACCTCTAGGACTCTGAAGCGTGCAGGAAAGATGGTGGCTGATCCCTCCCACCCCGGTCACAAACGTTTTGAGACACTCCCTTCTGGCAGGAGGCTGCGGTCCATCAGGACCAAACCTAATGCCACAAGAACAGTTTTTTCCCATCCGCTGCTAGCCTTATCAACAAGGCCCGGAACCCACCCTGACACTCTTTCACACTGCACCTCTGCCTCCATATGTAACATTGACACTGCTTTCTCTACTCTATGCGTTACATTAACGCTCAGCTATATACTTATATTGGAAATACTCTGCATACTGTGAACACTATAGTTACTCAGCTGTACTGCTCTTCTTATTTCTCATTTTTTACCTTCAAAAAACATACTGTGTATATATTTTTATATTTATATTGTTAAATTTTAATACTTGATTTTTTTATTTGTCTCTCTATAGCTGCTTTTAGACATGCACAGAACTCTGGCTAATCTCTGAAATTGTCCGGAATGGCTGTATGTGAGAACACAAGTGCCAGTGTCAAAGGCTCCAGAAACTCCTGTTGACATACACATAGAAGACACCTTTTGGTGTCTTGGGAATGGCAGGTGTCCTGTTGTGGGGGAGGGGTTTCAAAGCAATAGTTACGGTAAACACAGAATAATGGCAAACATGGTAAACACAGAAAGATGCATTTGAACAATGTCTGTTTTTTGTCATTTTCTGGGATGTTTTAACAATAAAACACAAAATTGGAAGAAATTAAGATACCAATCCTATAAACTAACCTCTTTTCAGTTCAGTTTACAAAAACAAAAGCCACTTAAAATTAAAAAGAATCATTGAAAGCCAGTATCACCTAGGTGATGTTCAGAAATGCTATGGTGAATTTCAAAATCAGTCTCGAGCTCCTCACCAACTTCTCATTTCTAGTGTCGTTCTGTAGTACTTTTTCTGTTTATTTTAATAATTTTTGTTAACATGCAAACCACCCAAGCGAGCCCTATCATTCAGTATGATAGAGAACAACTTTTACTCATCAGGTCGCTGGCAAACAGCAAAAAACCACCGTGACCAGCAGAAAACAACAATGGCCAGTATCCGTGGTTACCTGTTGGCGCTTTACCTGGGGGGCGCAGGAGACAAAGGCGGCGAGGATCCCGGGCCGGGGTCCTAGTCAGGCTGAGAAAACGCGAAAACCGGCCTCCTCTACCGAGCTTACTTCTGGCAAATGTCCAATCACTGGAGAATAAGCTGGATGAACTCCGAAGCAGCATGGCATTTCAACGGGACATTAAGAACTGTAACGTAATTGTTTTCACAGAGACTTGGCTTGACCCCTCGATCCAGGACGCCGCCATTGTCCCGCACGGATTCTCCATTCATCGCCAGGACCGGACAATAAACTCAGGGAAGAGTAAGTGAGGGGGCGTCTGCTTTATGATCAACAACAACTGGTGCTCAGATGTGGAGATAATTTCTTCGGACTGCTCTCCCAGCTTAGAGCACATCATGATCATATGCCGTCCTTTTTACCTGCCGAGGGAGTTTACATCTGTGATTCTAACAGCAGTGTATGTTCCGCCGCACGCTGACAACAACACAGCGCTGGAGGAGCTGTATGGAGTTATCGACAGGACAGAGACTTCAAGGCCGGAGGCTGCCTTTATTGTGGCCGGGGATTTTAACAGCGCTAACATGAAGAAAGTCCTACCGAAATACTATCAGCACGTCAGCTGCCCCACGTGCGGTGGAAATACACTGGACCATGTTTATTCTCCTTTCCGCAATGGATACAAAGCCCTCCCCCGCCCCCCCTTTMGCAAGTCGGACCACGTATCTCTTCTCCTGCTCCCTGTTTACCGGCAGAGACTGAAGAGAGACCGTCCTGTGACACGGACAGTCCAGCACTGGACCGAGCAGTCAGACTCTGCTCTGCAACAAGGCTTCAGCACCACGGAGTGGTGTGTGTTTGAGGAGGAGGACATAAACACACACACAGACGCGGTCATTTGCTACATCAGCAAATACATCGATGACGTCGTGCCGCGGATTACTGTACGAATATTCCCAAATCAGAAGACCTGGATAAATGGCGAGGTCCGAGCCAAACTCAAAGCTCGGGCTGTCGCGCACAGTGCCGGTGATTTGGATGAATACAGGAACTCCAGATATGCGCTCCAGAGAGCTATTAGCAGTGCTAAAAGACATTATAAGAACAAAGTGGAGTCTGACTACAAGGGCTCCAATGCTAGAAACATGTGGTCTGGACTAAAAACTATAACAGACTATAAAAGAACAACAAGTGGTGCCGAGGAAGTGTGTGCATCTCTCCCAGATGAACTGAACACATTTTATGCACGCTTTGAGAGACCCCCGGCTGTGGAGGTACAGAAGACTCAGGATCCCTGCCCCTGCCCCCTGGTTTTAACCAGTACAGATGTGTGCAGATCCCTAAAAAAGATCAACACACATAGGGCTCCTGGGCCTGACGGCATCCCTGGCKGTGCTCTCAAGGTGTGTGCAGTTCAGCTGGCAGAGGTGTTCACAGACATCTTCAACAAGTCACTGCTCCAGTCTATAGTCCCCACATGTCTCAAAGAGTCCACCATCATTCCAGTCCCTAAAAAGACAAAGACCATCTGCCTCAACGACTACCGCCCAGTTGCACTCACCCCCATCATCATGAAGTGCTTTGAGTAGTTAGTCAAACAGTTCATCACCTCCTCCCTCCCCGACTCACTGCACCCCCTGCAGTTTGCTTACAGGGAGAACAGGTCCACCGCCGACGCCATCACCTTCACCCTCCACACTGCCCTCTCCCACCTGGACCAGAGGAACACGTATGTGAGGATGCTGTTCATTGACTACAGTTCAGCATTCAACACTATTGTGCCCTCCAAGCTCATCATCAAGCTCAGGGACCTCAGACTCAACAGCGCCATCTGTGACTGGATCCTGAACTTCCCGATGGGCAGACGCCAGGCAGTGCGGATGGGGAACATCAGATCCTCCAGCCGGACCCTCAACAGGGTTGCGTGCTCAGCCCTCTCCTCTACTCCCTGTTCACGCATGACTGCGTGGCCACATACAGCTCCAACACCATCATCAAGTTTGCTGACAACACCACTGTCATCGGCCTGATCACAGACGGCGACGAGACGGCCTACAGAGAGGAGGTCAGAGCCCTGACATCTTGGTGCCAGGACAACAACCTCCATCGCAACGTCAGCAAAACCAAGGAGCTGATTGTGGATAACAGGAAGAAGCAGAGAGATGGACACGCCCCCATCACCATCGATGGGACTCCTGTGGAGAGAGTCAGCAGCTTCAGGTTCCTCGGGGTTCACATCACTGAGGACCTGACATGGACCCATCACACCAGGGTTATCACAAATACAGCTCGTCAGCGGCTCTTCTTCCTCCGAAGGCTGCGTAGGTTCAACATCAACATGGACTCCAGGATACTCTGCAACTTCTACAGGTGCACCATCGAGAGTATCCTGACCAGATGCATCACGGCCTGGTACGGCAGTTGCACTGCCCTCAACCATAAGAATCTACAGATGGTGGTGAAAACTGCTCAGCATTTCACCAGGACGGAGCTACCATCCATGGAGGACCTCTACACCCAGCGTTGTAGGAAGAAGGCTCACAGGATATTAAAAGACCCCCATCACCCCAGCAACAAACTCTTCTGTCTGCTGCCGTCTGGCAGATGGTACCGCAGCATTCGGACCAAGACCTCAAGACTCAGGGACAGTTTTATCCCAGTTTTTTCGCGCTGTTGAACTCCTGAGCTCTGTGGAACTCACTTCATCTGTTTATAGCAACATATTCATTTAAACATTATAATATTCATACACACAAAMAACTATATTTACTTATTTAATCTATAATAATTCTCATTCTGCTACATCTTTCTATTCATCATATTTCTAAGCTACACAAAAATAAATGAGTGCAATAATTCATATCTGTTCATACCTCCCCACAACTGCTGCTAAATCATGACTGCACATGTTTATATTCACCTTAGCACCTTATAATGTTTTATTGTAATGTTTATCGACACCTTTTAATGTTTATTTTATTTTTTGCACTAGTTAATGACATTGTACTTTCTTGTTTATTTGCACTAGTGTATTCGTATTTTGTATTTTTAGTTACTCTTATTTTATTATCTTCTGACACTATTACATGTTGAGCTGCTTGAGGTGCCTGGGATTTAAGATTTTCATTGCCAACATGTATGCTGTATCTGTTGTGCAGATGACAAATAAAACCTTTGAACCTTTGAACCTTTGTTTTTGTATAATTTTGTATTTTGTTTTATCTTTTTCATCCAGCTACATGTACTGGACTGACTGGGGAGAGGAGCCCAGGATAGAGCGTGCTGGCATGGATGGCAGCCATAGGTATTGTAACTTAATAACCTAGAATGAAACTCACCCTCTGTATTCAAAGTAAAATTTGCAGAGTACAGTATTCCCTTTGTATGACGAATGTATCAGCCTAGTAACAATTTGGTTGAACTATCATACTGATTTGGATGTCAAGTGGCATTTTCTTTGGTCTCTTCACTTTGTCTACTTGTGTCTCTAACAGGAAAGTGATCGTAAACATGGACATATACTGGCCCAACGGTCTGACTATAGACCTGGTCGAGGAGAAGCTGTATTGGGCAGATGCTAAACTCAGCTTCATTCATAGAGCTAACCTTGATGGATCAGCACGGTATGGACCTTTTTGTATGGAAGATAATGGCCTTAATTGTGTGAACTGTGCCTTTGTTCTCTGACAGTAGATAGAAGACTGCTTTGGAAGGAAACATCTAACTTATACAGAAACCTAATTGTTAATGTTAACTGTTTGCTCTCCAGTCCAACCAATCATCAACAAGGAGCATTGCATGGCTCTAGACTTTGATGTTTAAAAAGGTATGACCTGTGGTTTGTTGGTTGAGTCAACACTGTACACAACAGGTTCTAATGACAGACACAGAGAAAGGAAAGATAAAGAGGCCAAACACTTTTTGGAGGATTTTTTGATGGTCCACTGGCCAGTACAACACTTGGTTATAAGTTGTGCTGTTTCCTCGTCAGTCTCATGCACCCTTTCTGGAGTAATATCCCATAAGCACCACCACATTTACGAGTGATTACACTACATCTGCATGTACATCCATATCGCAAGGATGGCCTTCACATACCAAGCTTTATAGCACTGACAAAACTCATTTTATTGAAGTTATTTGTGAAACAAAATCACTGAAGTGAAAGATAGGTCACAAAACTATATTGTTACATATTCTTGAAAATGTATATGTACAATGCTATTATCAATACTGATGAAATGTTTTTTATAGAAGTAGCTTACTTGATGTTATCATATCAGTTATCAGCTGCTATTATGGACAAAGTTATATTCCCTGTTTGATATATGTGAAAATAAAATACACTTCTCAAAATGTTAGCAATCATAACTGTTACAGTTTAAAACAGTGTAAGGTTCCTGTATTTTAACTTTAAAGATCACCACGAAAGTTTTCACTCTGTTCAGCATCTTTCTAACATAGAAAGGGAGGAGAGAAAGAGTAGCTGTATAGACAAAATGAAAGAGAGATAAAAGAGGGACTATTGGAGAGCTCTCCAACACAAACAGAACGGTGGTATGGAGGCCTTTGTCAAAACACACATAAATTCATACACACTCATTGTGCATCTCTTACAGTTCAATCTTTCCATCTCCTTTCGTCTAGCAGCCTTGTTTCTTCAAATCTCTCCATTCGTCCTCCCTTCATCAATTCACCCTTTCAGCATAATTTGTTAGTGTTTCTCCTACAATGCAAGTTCCCATGTAGATAGATGTCGACCACATGGAAAAAGAAAATTTTGTTTCAGAATTAGAAATACTTTATTAATACCTGTAGGGAATTTCAAATTTCTTCAGTAACTTAATAAAAATGAATTATCTAAAATGTGTTACTGCAAACTAAAATACATTTTGGCCCTCCGAAATCCATACCATTTGAAAGATTTATTCTGCATTATTTTATTTTTTACATTGTTGAAATAATGATGGAAATGCCACAGAAACCTTAAAGAATACTGGAAAGAATCAGAAATAGACATATGTTTGCAATTCTCTTGTTGATCATCTTGCAAGATAAAAGCTATACACAACAACTTATTTTTATTCCTATGTTATTTAAGCTGCTTTCAGACATGCACCAAACTCTGCAGATACTACAGATAGGTGCATGTGTGAACGCAAATGTCCGAATGAAAGACTCCACAGTTTCTGCAGATTTTCTGCACTTGGCCTCCTAGTATGAAGTCCATAGAAATTCAGGAGATTCTGATGTGAGAACACAGCTGGATAATGTGGAGGATTTGTTGCTGTGTTTGTGTAGCAAACCTCCCTGCTGCATTGTGCATGTAGGAAATGCAAACAATGGGTAAACTCCGAAGCCAATTCTCGATTTGGATTTGGATTTTACCCACATGTCATGTTTTGAGGCATAAAGATTGGGGTTCACTTATTTTGTACATAAATAGTGTCCTCTGAGCACTTACAGTCAGGACAGTTCATAGTTGTTTCAAAAGGTAACATTTGTAGAACTTATGAGGATGTAATGTAATGTGTTACCCTAAAACATAACAATTAACTAACAGGGACTTGGGATCAAGCCTTTGGGAACACCACAAGTTGAGATGGCCCATCAGTGATTCTTGAATCACACGTATGCGTTGTGTTAACGCTTGGCAGTGAGAGTGCCCAATGCTTAGTGGTGGCGGCATTCAAATCACAGTTAAATGTGATCAAGATGGCGCCACTGCCTTGGTACTTCCCTCTCTAGTACTTTTTACGTTTTTGTGTATTTGTTGTGTCTTTTGCACTCCTTCTCTGGCCACATACTCCAGAGAAGAACTCATAAACAACACAAACAACACAGACTTTAACAGATCTGCTGCCTTGTGCTTCACTGAAACCTGGCTCGGTGAGCACATCCGAGACACTTCTCTCCACCTGCCTGGATTTCACCTGCACCCAGCGGACCGCGTAAAGGAGCTCTCGGGGAACACGAGGGGGGGCGGAATCTGTTTTTACATTAACAAAGGTTGGTGTACTGATGTCACGGTTCAAATCAAATCATGCAGTCCTCACCTGGAGACATTATTCATGAACTGTAAACCTGAGTCTACATCCCTCCTCAGGTCTGTGTAACTGAGGCGTTACAACACCTGGCCGACCAGATAAACAACGTGGAGAAAAAACACCCGGACTCTCTGCTCATTGTTTTGGGGGACTTTAACAGAGCAAAGCTCAGCCATGAACTTCCAAAATATAAACAGCACATAAAGTGTCCCACCAGGGACACAAACACTCTGGAAGATTGCTACACTGTTTCAAAGGACTCATACCACTCTGTCCCCCGTGAAGCCTTGGGACTCTCTGATCACTGCATGGTTCATCTTAGCTCGACCTACAGGCAGAAGCTGAAATCTGCTAAGTCTGTGGTCAAGACGGTGAGGAGATGGACCTATGACGCCATAGCGGAATTACAAGCCTGCTTTGACTGCACTGATTGGATTGTTTTTGAGGCTGCAGCCTCAGACCTGCATGAACTGACTGATACCATGACATCGTACATCAGTTTTGAGTGAGGACATGTGTGTGCCCACCAAGACCTTCCGCACATACAACAACAACAAACCCTGGTTCACTGCAAAACTCAGGCAGCTCTGTCAGGCCCTCATGCTTCAAACTCTCCACAATTATCCCGGTCCCCAAGAAACCCACCATCACAGGACTAAATGACTTCAGGCCTGTGGCCCTCACGTCTGTAGTCATGAAGTCCTTCGAGAGACTGGTATTGTCGCACGTGAAGGACATCACAGGCCCCCTGCTGGACCCCCTGCAGTTTTCCTACCGGGCAAACAGGTCAGCAGATGATGCTGTCAACATGGGACTGCACTACATCCTGCAACACCTCGACTCTGCAGGGACATACACCAGGATCCTGTTTGTGGACTTCAGTTCGGCGTTCAATACCATTGTTCCAGACATCCTCCACACCAAGCTCACCCAGCTCACTGTGCCCTCCTCAACCTGTCAGTGGATTACCAAATTCCTGACTGACAGGAAGCAGCAGGTGAGGTTGGGGAGCATCACATCCAGCACCCGGACTATCAGCACTGGCGCCCCCTAGGGGTGTGTGCTCTCCCCACTGCTCTTCTCCCTTTACACCAACGACTGCACCTCAAAAGACCCGTCTGTTAAACTCCTGAAATTTGCAGACGACACAACGATCATCGGCCTCATCCAGGACGGTGACGAGTCTGCTTACAGACGGGAGGATGAACGGCTGGTCTGCTGGTGTGGTCAGAACAATCTGGAGCTGAACATGCTCAAAACTGTGGAGATGACAGTGGACTTTTGGAGATGCCCCCCCACTTTGCTGCCCATCACCAACAACTCTGTGACTGCTGTTGAAAACTTCAAGTTTCTGGGCTCCACAATCTCCCAGGACTTGAAGTGGGAGACCAACACAGTCACCATCATCAAAAAGGCCCAGCAGAGGTTGTACTTCCTGCGCCAGCTCAGGAAGCTCAACCTGCCTAAGGAGCTGCTGTCACATTTCTACTCTGCCATCATTCAGTCTGTTCTCTGCTCCTCAATCACTGTTTGGTTTGGATCGGCCACAAAACAGGAGTAAAACAGACTGCAACGGACAATAAGGACTGCAGAGAAAATTATTGGTGTCAGCCTGCCCTCCATCCAAGACCTGTACCTGACCAGAGTCAGGAATCGGGCAGGTAACATCTCTGCAGTCCCATCACACCCTGGATACAAACTGTTTAAACTTCTCCCCTCCGGTAGGCGCTACAGAACACTATACGCCAAAACATCCCGTTTTAAGAACAGCTTTTTCCCTCAGGCTGTCTCTGTGTCAAACAGCTAAAACCGGACTCAAATATCAGAAACATCACCTGTAATATATCTGCACATTCAATATACTTTACAAACTGTAAATGTATATTTATTATTTCATCCTTGCACTATGCACCATTTGCACCAACTATTTAGCTTTTTTGTCCTTGTTCATCTCTGTTTGTTTGTTGTTTTTTTAAACTGTTGTACGAAGAGAACAAAGAAAAACCGGAGTCAAATTCCTCGTGTGTTCACATACCTGGCAATAGAAGCGTTTCTGATTCTGAGTTCCATGCTTGTGACACGCAACATAGGTGGCTTTCCTGCTAACATATCATTCTAGCTATCAATGCAATGCTATAAAGTAATATACAGCAAATAAAATTCACTCAGATGAACTAGGTTAGCCAGGTGCTCCGCCTCTTCTTTTGAATTAACTTGATATAATTGGCAAGCGCCTGCAGTTGAGTCTTTGTTTTAATATGATTTAATTATTAACTCACTTCAAAGTGAATGAGCAGCATTTTATTTGAAGCTGCTTCAGTTAAGGGTGAGTCCATCTTAACTTCAAAGAGAAAGGTCTCGAATTGTTATCCAGTCTAAGGCAGAATCACTACATCCGACACGAGTTGCCACTAAAATATTTCCAACCATACCCTTGTGGGCTTTCATAATATATGTGCCAAGGGTTTAAGATGGTGTCTATAAACATTTAGCAAGCGAGTCATGGCTCAACTGTGACCTATCCAAAGTTACCTAAAATAAAAAAATAGTATGCAAACACATTCAGATAAAAAACTAACTTTTTGGACTGTAAGGCTTTAATCCCACTCTCTATCATGTAATTAGTCAAGTAGTCAAGCTCATAGAGAAATAAAGAAATAACTGAAGGCAGCTGCATGTTGAGCATAATGTTACCTACTGCACGTCTCTACAAGTATTAAGATATACTGGGAAGGTTGAGTTAGAGCCAAACAACTCTGTATTGTGCAGGAGTATGCTTTTTGGTGGTAGAAACATGTACTTGATCTAAATAACTCAAAAGGGGGAGTGGAGGCTTTAATCTGACTGTATCCGACATCTGCCGAAATTAAAAAAATTGCTTGTTTGCTAATATATTTTTCACACAAAAGTTCACTCACAAAAGCTGAACAGTGTTTTGAAATCTAGAGTTTGTTAAATCTGTTCTTTCTTTTTTTATTTAACCACTACTGGCAGAGTCCTCTGCTTTTACAGCACCCTCATGACTATATGAAGCCACTTTCTGCTTTATTGATATTCTAAATACAAGCCTCCTTAGATCCTGTGCATACTGTATGTGCATTTGTGTGAGTACATTTTGTAAATGATTCTAAAGTGTTTTGGAAAAGAGCTGCTCTCTCCTGATCAAATCTTACACTTACTCACACCCTTATTGTACAATGTCTCCATGTTCTTTTATGTCTTTAGTGTTGTACTTCCTTGCTGTAAACACAGCTACAAACATATGCACTTAATGCTTTAACTTGTTTTTTGGCTCTAAAGATAGAGAGAGCATACACTACCTTCAATGAGGCAACCTAATCCTCTAAGGGCCTGATCAGTAGTATTTAAATCAGTGTTTTGCTTGCATTACTGGTTTCCACCATGGAGAGCAGAGGGACGGAAAAGTAAAATGTAATGCCATGGAATTGGAGGTGTTAGTGGAAGAGCCAAACAAACATGTTGTTGAGCTACAGCAAAGAAATATTAATTTAACTCAAAGAAACACGATATGGGAGGGTATCTGCGAGAAAGTAAATGCTGAGGGTGAAACAAAAACTTATGAAATTAAGAGAAGATGGCAGGACATAAGAAGAAGAACAAAAGAAAAAATAGCTCAAAATAAAATCTCGACAAATAAAACAGGTGGGGTCTGGTGGAAAAAATGCCTTTGACCAGTATTGTGCTGGAGCTGAGAGCTGTGTCCTCTGTGGCACGAGCGCTCAGGCAACAGGCGCAAACTTGGGCCACTTTAGCATACATGGAGTGCACACCAGGTATCTTTTGTGACAAAGGCCATCGGTGCCCTGGCAAGAGATGGATTATTTTTGCTTCTGTCAATCCAAACATGCTAACACGAGCAGAAAAAAACCTGTTTTCTTGGTCTTCTTCCATGCTGTCTCTTCCTCACCACAATAACTGCAGCCATCTGTGCGTAACAACGTGCCGATTAGCACCTACATTTCAAATGCACTAAATATAGATGCAGTCAAAACCACCGTAATTATTTCCAGGATTTGTACATCATAATGCTGTGGATTGTGGTCGTGGTTGTTTATGTCAGCGTCAACATGTGTTTCGGTCTTTAAATCTCAAGACACCCTCTTCTAAGGCAGAGCCACCATAGTCTGACCAGACTTTGGTGTGTGTCCCTAACATATTGGGGCCCAATTGAGATCTTTCCTCCTGATCCAGAGCCATTTGCTGCAGCCTTCTGCAGTCTGTGGTGTTTCCTTTATGGTCTAGCACAGGCTTGGTCAGTGGATTCCCAGATCTCAGAGCAACCTGATGGTGATAAACCCCTGCAGCCAAACTCCACAGGGCAAACTATTGCCCTCCAGCTACACTGTTCTACCCCAAATGCCATTAAGGCTTTTGCAGTAAAGTGTACTCTTGGTATTGCCACTGCAAGTTAAGTTTTGTATTGCCGCAGATATCAAAACATATTGTCTAATACCCAGAGGCGGATGTTGCATTTCAGAATCACAGAAAGCTGCACATTTTTAGGTTTAAGTAATGTTAGGACCTATGTCTGGTGAATCAACCTTAAATGCATAGAAGAACAACAGTATTGAGTATATAGACAAACAACAGGCCATCAAATGGTGTTGATTTATAACCTTAAGGAAAAGATGTTTGTTTTTACAATAAAGTTGCTAAATCTACTCAACAGGGCAAGATCACTTGTTCATGGCAGCTTAACATTCAGCATTTAATACATTTAGCATTAAATGTTATGTTGTATAACATTAAATGTGCAATTCTATTCTCCCAAATTATAAAAATACCTTTTCACTTCACTTCCATTAAAGAAAAGCATTTTGCAACGGGATTCTAAAACAAAACACAGGCCAGAATCAGAATCAGAAATACTTTATAAATCCCTGTAGGGAAATTCAAATTCATCCTCTCATTCTAACAGTTTTTATTTTGTCCTGCAGTGAAACAGTGGTGGAGGGAACCCTCACCCATCCTTTTGCACTGACACTGTCTGAGGAGACCTTATACTGGACTGACTGGCAGACCCGCTCCATCCATGCCTGTAACAAACACACTGGAGACAAAGTCAGAGAGATCCTCAGTGGGATTTACTCTCCTATGGACATCCAGGTTCTGGAGCCATATCGTCAGCCTCAGAGTAAGTGGACTGTTTTACTAATGTGTATGTAGCCTGCAGTACAGCACATATATATCTATTATTGAATAAAAATATGGATATTGACTATGATTCTGCAACACTTTTCATAGTTTTGTAGTATAAAATCTCATGTGTATACTTTTTCCAAAGCACAGACAAAATAATATGTTTAATAATATTTTCTTTGTCCCTTCCTTTTGTTGATGTCACTGAAGTCAAGACTTCCTGTAGTGACAATAATGGAGGCTGTAGTCATCTCTGCCTACTCTCTCCAGTACTGCCTTTCTACAGCTGCGCCTGCCCCACTGGTGTTCAGCTTAAACCAGACGGAAAGACATGCAAGCCAGGTACAGATTCCATTTACAGCAGTGTGACCTTAAACTCAACTGCCACTGGTTTTTAGGAATTGAAGTGAGAAGAGCTGTATAAGGTGCACTGATAACAGCATTTTTTTTTAAATCAGCGCAAATAATCAGTGCTTTAAAGAGAACAAAATTGATTAATTGATAACATATTAATTCATTAATTAATAATTCAATACATTTTTGGGGATAGCACCAACAGATATTATCTCAAGGCACCTACCATAATAAGGTCAAAACTGTGCAATATTATTATTGAAAGAACATGGGAGTATCTACATGAGATGTATAGCTGGTACCCAGAGCAAACAGACAATGAGAAGCTACTGTCAGATTCCCTGTTTATATCCACACTACTACGTTTTAGTTTTAAAATGCATCATCTGTTGCTATGCATTTACACCTGCCATCCACACTGCTTCAGGTTTTTAAGGTGTCTATAACAGAAGTTTGAAAACGCAGCTGGCTGTATTTCATTCCAGGGGTGTGTTGTAGTCTGGATGGACCAAAACAGAGATATCTGGAATTGATGATGCAGCCACCCACAAATGCTTCAATCCTCTCAGTCACAACTTGATCACCAGCAGTGAAAGCAAAGCCTTGCTATGCTCACTGTCAGTATCTGTTCCACGTTGTAGTCCAAAAAAAAATCTCTTCTCTTAATTTTCACAATTGCTGTTTATTTTTTGTACCAACTACAGAGCAAACCGTCTGCTTCCTATTTATATTTCATGATCAGTGTATGTGAATCATAATATGATAAACATGTTTAGATGTGATAGTATGGACAGAGATTGCTATTGATATAGAGCTCATTTGGATAAAGATCCTTTAAATTTTATAATGACAGAATATTATTGTTTCTCATTGTCAGAATGTGAGAGGATATGTTGTATCGCATGTACATCATTTAATCATCCAAAACTGCAGGATTATTAATTTCAGAGACAGCTGCAATATCCCCAAACTCGAAAATTTTACAGATTTATATTATTCCCAAAAGAAGTAAGGTGAAAATTATACAGTGTTAATCATATCACACACAAACCTGTCAGCTAGATGCACTGTATGTATGAATGTCCGGTGAATGGGTGAATGGCAAACTGTAGTGTAAAGCACTTTGAGTGGTCTTCAAGACTAGAAAAGCGCTATATAAATACAACCATTTACAGTTGTAGTGCTATAGAAGATATTATTTAAAACAATTTTTGAAGTTTAGGTTTTTTTAAACTTTAGTTTAAGGTTTTTATGGAACAATTATGTATGCAATGGTTATAAATAAGGCCCCTGGTCTGATCAGCTTAGGTTCAGCTTAGCTCTCATCATAAAAATGTTCAGCTTTGCAGTTCAATAGTTCTGATATTGTTCCTTCAAGTAGCTCCTGAAAAACAATGTGCTTCAAAATCAGGAGGCTACAGCTCTAACATTTAAAACATCTATGAGCAGCTCACCTCTTTTTAAGACATCTGGTTGTGCACATTAGGCCACCACTAAAAACAATTTCTGCCTCCTTATAGACCAAAGACTGTTGATATGGAGGTTTTTTCCCATCTTTATTCAAGAGTGTGGTATTTCAGTTTGAGCACATGACTTGTTGAATTTATGTTGAGACTGTGTATTACTTTTAATCAAAACAGCTTTATTATATGGACTTCCCCTGTCCTTTTCTTCCAAAAAGTCATAGAGAAAGCAAGCGGAAGTCTATCTGGAGTAAAGCGAATGCGCCCGCAACGAGGCACAGATCATATCATTAATTTCATTGGTTGACCAGTGGTTAACACAACACCTGGCATTCTATTGGTTGGGGAATTTTTGACAGGGTTGTGAATTCCTAGAGCAGAGGAGAAATCTGAGAGCCGACGATTCACAAGTGCACAGAAAGCAGCCCGAGTGCGGAGAAGGGCTGAAGCTGGAGAGCAGGAAATCTGTGCGAGCAACAATATATCTGAGTGCAAGCACACAGTTTGAGCAGAAGCAGAGCACATTTAAGTGCAAACAGAGTATTTTAGTGCAAGGGCAGGGTTTTATAACATATAACTGACATTTTATTATTACTCTTAGAATAACTCCCTTTCCCAGAGCTTTTAACTGATACAATATTTTACCACGGATGAACTTCCATTATTTGGTCATGCAATAACAACAAACCCATTTCCATAGCAAATGAGAAAATAGCTAGTAAATTGTTTTTTTTTTACAACTTCGAAATGTCACAACTTGCCTTCAACTTGATTTGATAATCAATTTGAAGGGATTCCATACTAGAGACAAATTTGAAGGAGTCTGTTGAAACACAACCATTGTAGTTAATACACAAATATTTTGTGACCTCCATTATCATTGTGTTTGGTTATCCTTAGTGATGCAGCATAGAGAGATGTCAGATTTTGATTCTGTGAAGGTTCCTCTGGAATGACAAAGATTTGCATAATTTGCACAGCTATGCGTTTTTTGACATTTGAGCTGACACTTTTAGATTTTGGAGATTATTATATGCATTCTATCATGTATTATAGGAAAGAACACAATTTATTCAACATGCATTTTATAGGTTTTTTTAATAATGGTTGATGGATCTTTTTGAAACTGTATTGTTTTTGCTGTACAGTTGTGGTTTTGTCTTTGGATTAAAATAAATTGATCTGAAATGTGAGACAAAGATGAGAAAGATGAGGCAGATAAAAGGATAGAAAGACACTTTGAACTGCTTTACATGTCAGCTATTCAAAGTCATGTTGTGAGAAACAAAGAAAAACAGCTAATTGATGGACTGTGGGGCTTTAGACACATGAGCAGACATTTTACCCTACAGAGAAAATGTATTCTTCTGGCTAATGTTCAGTCTCTGGATAATAAGCTGGACGATCTTCAGAGCTGGATGGTTTTCCAATGGGACATTAAGAACTTTAACGCTATGATTTTCACTGGGCTGGAACTCAGGAAGAGCAAGGGAGGAGGTGTCTGCTGCATGGTGAATAATCTGTGGTGCTCAGATGTAGAGATAATTTATTCCGGATTTTTATTGTTATGGAAAAACTGCTGATAGTCAACTCATCAGTGAAGAAAGCGTTCAGGAGCCCTTTGATGTCTTATGCTTGAATATTTATTGAAGCTTGGCCAAGGAGAAAATCAGAATTCATCCCTACAACATCTTTGTATGATGCTCTCTCATATTCTGAAGTCTGCTTTCCTGCAGTCACACAAACCCCAACAGATCATTTAATCTATGGGTGTGCTCGTTCCTAAACAATCAAATGTATTTTCTAGTTATGGAGACATTGTTGCCTGCAGTCTCATATCTGTGATGTCTTGGGAGTGAAGGCTTTGACCTTCGCCAAGCTCTCGCACTTCCCAAACACAACAGCCTGTTGCACTATGCCCCAGAGAGGACAAGAGAAAATTCCATAACATTTATTCAGAATTCAGAATTCAGAATTCTTTTTATTTGCCAGGCATGTTTGCACATACAGGAAATTGCCTTGGTGTAATTGGTGCACTACTTATGTACATAAAA